CTCTAAATCAATTATTTTTAATAATTTCCAGAAATATCTATGAGAATTCAATTATTCAAAAAGAAAAAGAAATTTCAATTAAAATTGCTTTTTTTTAATTCAATCATTTTCAAATAATTTTTACGAAATTTCGATAAAAAAAATCAGATTTTCAAAGATTTTAATTTGAAAACTTTTGAAAATTCAATTATTTCTAAAAATTGACGCTAAAATGCTTTAAATATTCAATTATTATCTAAAATTTGAACTAAAATTAATTTTTAAATTAATTTTTATTAGAAAATTCTATGAGAATTCAATTATTTAAATTTTAAATTTATTTTATTAAATTCGTCAAAAGAATTGATTTTCAATCATTTTCAAATAATTTTTACGAAATTTCGATAAAAAAATTCAAATTTTCAAAGATTTTAATATGAAAACTTTTTAAAATTCAATTATTTAAATTTTAAATTTATTTTATTAAATTCGTCGAAAGAATTGAATTTTAAGAAACATTCAATTATTCAATAAATTAATTATTTTTGTGTTTCTTAAAATTCAATTCTTTCGACGAATTTAATATAATTTTTAAGAATAATTACATTTTTAGAGAATTCAATTCAAAATTCTATCAAAAATAATTGAAATTGTACGATAAGTTTTATTATATATTTATGAAAATATAATTGAATTCCTAAAGAAAATTTTATTATTTTTGAAAATAATTGAAACCCTGTAAAAAATTTAATTATTTATAATAATAATTAAATTATTCTGAAGATATTTATAAAAAATTTGTAAATAATTGAATTTTGAAATTTTCATTATTTGTGAAATAATTAAACGTTTACGTAGAATTTTATCAACATTTTTTTTTAAGTAATTGAATTCTTTTGGAAAATTTTATTTTAATAGTACCTATAGATATATTAAAAATCATTGAATTTGAGGAACATTTTTGAAAACAATGGAAATTTTGCCAAAAATTTTATTGAAAGTTTTGAAAATAATTGAATTTTGACGAAGCATTTTATTAAATATAAAGATACTTGAATTCTCGACAAGAAATTTAAAAAATTTTAGAACAAAATTGAATTTTGTGAAGATAATTTTATTATTTTTGAAAATATGAATTTAATTTCTGCAAATACAAAAATAAATAATATATTGAATAATTGAATATTTCTCAAAATTAAAATTTCATAAAGAATTTTTTGAACAAATTTTGAAATAATTAAATACATTCGATGAATATTTAAAAAAAAATTTTAAGAAAAATAATTATTTTTTTTGAGGAATTCGATTAAAATTGTATACTAAAAATAGAAATTGAAATTCTGTCAAGGATTTTATTAAAATTTTTGAAAATAATTGCATTTCGGAGAAGAATTTTTTATTGTTTTTTATAAAGATAATTAAAATTTTGACGAGAATTTATAAAAAAATTTTTAACATAATTGAATTTCAGTGAAGAATTTTATTACTTTTGAAAATAATTGAATTTCTGCAATTCATTTGCAATTTCTCCAAAATTCTGTTTTTTTGTAGTAATGGTTTTAACTAAAATTCTTCTATAAATCCATTATTTTTAAAAATATACATTAAATATAAAAAAATTTAACTAATTTCAGAAGAATTGGAATTAACAAAATTTTCCGAAAATCTAAGCTCGCTTTAAAATTTCTAAAATAGTAAATAATTAAAAATATAAAATTTCAAATTGCTCTTTTGAAATTCATCTATAATATTTATGAAAATTGTAAACGCAACTCTTTTAAAATTCAATTAATCTTGAAATTAAGTATAAAATTATTTATTAAATAATTTATAAATAATAATTTTATAATAGTTGTTATGTTATTTAAAAAAAAATTGTTGTTAGAAATTGAAAAATTGAAGGTTTTGTATTAAAATTCGAGGCAATTTTATAGTTTATGCAAAGCAAAAAGCTGTATTGAACTTTTTTGACTGTGTTATGATCTGTTATGAAGTCAAAATCAAGAAAGAAATTTATAAAAGATTGCACAAAAGAATTGAAAATTACATAAAAGAATTTCAAATTTTTTTTCCGAGAGAATAAGAATGGCAATACAGAAAATAACATATTTGAAAGAAATCAAGGTGAATTCACGTCTATTTCACGGTTTCAAAGTTTGGTGGCCAACTTGCTAAAAGTTGCAGACTTTTGTTTGGTTATCGATCAAAGATCTTACAAAACGCTTTTAGAAGTGAATTCAAGAAAAAATACTTTAGGAATAAATTTTAATAGCACAAAAATTAATTTTATTAAGAGTAAAGGTCACTAATGAAAAGATGATTAAAAAATTTATAATAAAAGAATAAAAAAGCTAAAACTGTATACTGCTTACAACTGAAGACAAAGAGATTTATTCGAATATTGAAAATTTATTTGTTTTTCCAAAAAAAAAGGAAAAAAAATTCTATTCTTTCTTCCGGAAATTTTAAGCTTCCATTTCTTTTGTATTTCGTCGTTGTCTTTTCTCTCCCGACGGAAAAATAAGGGTAGCTTTTGCTTCCCGGGGCAGCGCCAATATCGACCTCTCTCAAGTCAAGCCACGCCTTTTCCCAGGTGAGAGCAGAATTTCACAGGGTTACCGCCCCATTCTGAACAAAAACTCTACAAACACTGCTTCATGTGAACATATGCACATATACATTTACGCAAAAAAAAAAGATAAATGATCATGTAAGGAAATATAAATGCAAAAACATAGTTTGCTCTATCACAATCTTTTGACCACAAAGACTCAAAGTCCATCTCTCAAGATTCTCAAGGGGTTCACGAGTCATGAATTAGGGTTTACACTTCTGTTGAATTATCTTCAAATATCTTCAAGTACCTTCGTATATTCGTATTTACTGAATGTATTCACTTTTCCTTTCTTTCGATTCCGATCATTACCGAAAAATAATTCTTTCAAATTATTATAGAAAAATTGACACAACTTTTTGTTTATATCAGTTTATTGGAAGTTCAGCATAAGTTCATATTCTAATGGGTGAAATAAATTAAATTTTCTTCTTTACCACTCCAAATGTCATTGAGCATTTCTTTTTTAATTTAAAGACACAAGAATTGGCAAGAATCCAAAATCGATAAGTACGAAAGTCGACAGGTTTGTGTCAACTGAAAAATTTCTCTTCTAACAGATTATTAAGCATACTCTTTTTTTTATTTCATTCGCCCCACATTTTCTGAAGGTCTCACAAATTTTCTGTCGCTATAATTGGAGACGATGTAAAAAAAATAATATTTAAAAAAAAGACGCACATCTCTAAATTTTTCAAGAAACGGATTTAAATTTTCCTTGACCTACTTCATTATTAAAAGGTTGTATTACAAATTTTTCGAAATTAACAACAATTTTCATTTTCTAAATTAGGAATCAGGTATTACATATATATATATGAACAAGAGGAATATTTCAAATGCTGTCATAAAATTTAATTTTGCTTTTCCCTTAAAAATCCAGTTAGGATTTTGATTCTTTTCCTGATCCGTATAAAAAACTTCAAGAGGGGTTCAATAATAAAAAAATATAATTTGTTTTTAAATATTTTCCCCGATTTTATATTTTTATTTTAATAGTAGAACCTTTCCAAATCTATAAACTTGCAATAATTTTACTCAAAGTTACAAACTTATTTTTACCAATAACTTTTGTTATCAAGTAAAAAAGTCGCATATTGATTCGAATGAAAAAATGTCATTCGTTAACTTGAAACTATAATAATCGTTTTTAAGTTGCGTATATATTTTTATTACATTTCCACCTGCAATGATAAATTTTTAAAATTTTGACCTTGGTGAAGTTAACTACGTTTATGATCAACGATTGAAAGACAAAAATTCTTTTTGCTCGCAGTAAATAATAATATCTGTTAACAAATTTTTCTTTTCATAAGTTTTTATTGTTTTTCTCTGCACTTTTGAAGTATATGAACCTCGGAAAAATTATTCAGTAAACGCAAGAATCAAAGAAGTACAGGAACGTACACTAACCCAACACTTTGCAAATATCAACTTGAAATATCAAGAATGTCACCCCTTTTATATAGGCGAAGACTGCAATTCTCTATGGCAAAGATTTTATCCTGTATATAATTGCATTTTATATTGTCATGATGGTAATGAGCCTGATGGACGTTATTGTGGAGTAGGAAAATGTGATTGGTTGGGATGTAACTGTGACGGTGGATGTAGAAAATCGAAAAGTTAAAAAAATTGAGGATGACAAAAAATTGTTAAACAAACTAAAAACGTTTGTTAAATAATGTAATATATTGTTTATTTTATAGTTAAATGTCAATGTAACCAAAAATACATTTAATTGATAATAAATAATATTGACTTGAATTTACAAAATACTTTATTTCTCCTTCTCACTATTTTTTTGAACTGATAATTTATACGTTACTTTTAACTATAAGCTGATTTCTTAATTTAAAAAAAATTTACTTAAAGAATTAGGGTTGTTCATTTACATTAACAATACTTTTTATTTATTATAATTTTTATGTTATAATTTGGAAATGTTAAAGTTGTCAAAAATACGCAAAAATTCCTATCGGTTTAAATTTTACATTGTAAATAGTAAATTTACTTTAATATAATTTTAATTTAGTATACTTATATGTCAGATATCAAGAATTTTATTATATTAATAAAATTTAAATATTTAATTTAATCAAAAATACTTTCATGAATTATCAATTTTTTGCAAAAATTAAATGTAAAATTAAAAAGTTAAATATTACATTTAGAAACTTTGCAATTAAGCTTTTTGGTAGTAACACTAAAATATTGTTATAAAAATTTAATTTAAATCAGTAAATATTTTAAGTTGGGTCCTTGAGATTTAGAGAGAAGTTAGTGATTAATTTTTCTAATATACAAAATATTTTTTTTTTTTTAATAAAATAGGTGCAAAAAGCAGTATAATTCGTTGGAAACTTTAGCAATATTTATTTAATGTCTCAGTTAATGTATGATATCTGTTTGAAGCTATACCTATAAATTTAAATCTGCAATACAATAAATTTAAACCATTTCTTAGCTTACATGTATATGAGTTATAATAATAATATTAATATAATACTATAATAATAAAGTTTAAGTAAATTTAAATTTTTTATTTTTTTTAGTATGAACTTTTGGAGTAGGTATGAAACACGGCAAAATTCTTCAGTAACCATACATTAGAAGAGTATATAGAAACAAACATTAACACAATACTTTGAAAATCTATACTTCAATAACTGCAATCCGATTTAACAAAAAATACAGTTGAAATATCAACAATGTCAAAAGTTTACCTCCTCTTATTTATTGTAACATTAGTATTATTTACTAATAAGTGTCGTGCGGAATGTTGTCTTCCTGCAAGCTGCTCTGGAGTCGTTAGCTTTTTAAATATGTGCTTACAAAAATATTGTGAAGATGGTACTGTGCCTGATGGACGTTATTGTGGTGTAGGAAATTGTGATTGGTTTGGATGAAAGTGTGACGGTGGATGTAGACGCGCTAAAAAAATTGAGGAACACAAAGAAACTGTAAAACCAAGTAAAAAACATTGTTTAGTACATTAATGTACTGTTTATATAAAAGTTAAATGTCAATGTAACTAAGAATATATTTAACTGATAATAAATAATACTAGCTTCCATTTAAAAAAGTATCTTCTCGCAGTATTTATTTTTTTCCTATACCAATAATTATGCGTCACTATAAACTACAAGCTTATTTCTCAGTTTAAACAAAACATAAATGCTTTGAGAAATAGGGTTATTGTTAATTCACAATAATAATTATCATAATTATTAGTCATTCATAATATAACGGTGTCAACTTATATGATTTTTGTATACCGATAAATGTAAAAAATATTTTGTGTTTAAAGTGGAAAAAAAATTTGAATAAAATGTTGTGCTGTTCGGATAACAGAGGTTCGGAACACTTTATTCATTTTGTATCTCAATTTAATATCCTTAGAAAAACTGTGTACTAAATAGAAGAGTAAATTCTCCCAGTTACATAATATTTTTGAAGATGTTGAATTTTCAACCTAAAACGTTTAGCACGTAAAATGCAGCATTAAATTTAATGTCCTCGACAATGTATATAGATATCATATATAAATGATAGCTTTTCGGCTAAAGAATAAATTCACGATACAATAATTTTATCGCGCACGTGTAGGTATACAAATCATAATAATAATATTTAAGTGAAAAAATAATTTCTATTGTTTTTCTCTGCACTCTTGAATTATATGAACCTCGCCGGAAAAAATTATTCAGTAAACGCAAGTATCAAAGAAGTACAGGAACGTACACTAACCCAACACTTTGCAAATATCAACTTGAAATATCAAGAATGTTAAAAAATTACTTGCTCTTATTTATTGTAACATTTGTACTATTTACTAATGAGTGTCGTACGGAATGTTGTCACTCTTTTTACAAAGACGACACCTGCAATTCTCTATTGCAAAGATTTTATCCTCTATATATTTGCACTTTATATTGTCATGATGGTTCTGAAGTCGTTGGAAATTACTGTGGTGTAGGAAGTTGTAATATTTTTGGATGTAACTGTGACGGTGGATGTATAAACGTGCAAAAAATAATGTTTCACGAAGTAAAAACGGTGGTTTATTAATGTAATGTATTGTTTTATTTAGTAGTCAAATGGCAATTTAACTACAAATGTATTTAATTAATAATAAATAATACTAAACTGAATTTTAAAAAATATCTTCTTCTCGCACTATATATTTTTTTGTACTAATAATTATCATAGTTTAGGGTTGTCACAAAAATTTAATTTTGTTTTTCCCTGATTTTCAGACAAAATTTCAACTTTTTTCCTGACCCTAAAAAGAATATTTTCAATCACTCTAAAAAATTATTCGATACTCAAAAAATGTAGTTCTATTATACATTTAGTTACGAATTTGTTTAATTGTAAAATAATTCGAAAACATCAATTACTTCTTTCTTAAATAAATATTTAATTATTATTATTTTTCCATATAGGAATTAAGATTTTCAAATTCAAACCTTCTGAAATTCAATAACTTATGAGAATATTATTATAAAACATGAAAAAAATCGATTACTCCGAGTCTTCTACTCGGAGTGATCGATTTCTTCATGTTTTATATACACGCAGAAAAATCCGATTGAAAATTGTGGAGTTCAGCACTAGTAACTTAGATTTCATTCCCAAACTTGTCTACCTTTGCGGCTCCAGGATAGAAAACAGGGAAATGAATCGTAAAAGGTTTAAAGCACGTCAGTAGGCTTAAAATGTTTTCGTTCTTATGCACACTTATACGCGGAACAAAGCAAACTGAACACATTGATAGGCGCTTCTGGGCGGAGTCCAAGGCAAGTCTAGTGCCGAGTCCCATACTGAATATAATGTGAGCAGATCTTCTAGTGACCTACATTATTACTTTTATTTGTCAAAATATTTACTTTTATTGGAATATTCAATTTGAAACTAAATATAAAATCGAAAAATGAAACAACTGAAAATATTAGAATACTTTGAATTTTATAAAACTTCTCACTGGGATTTTTATTATACTTTAGATATTTAAACGTCAAATCTCTTTAAAAATTAAATACAAGTCCTTTGCCATTTTTACTAAAATGATTTGTTTTAAAACGTTTAAAGAAAGAGATTATATTTAAATATCTACAGATTAAATAAAAATCCCAGTGCAAAGATTTTTAAAATTCAAAGTATTCTCTATTTTTTACATATTATTTCATTTTAGACTTTACATTTAGTTGCATAAATTCAACATTACAATAAAATATAATAACAATTAGGCATTGCACTACCGGCTAAAAACAAAATAAACACACACCTAACCTCAAAATGAGATCAAACATTTCACATAGATATTCTTCCACATTCATTTGTAACACTAGAACTTTATTACAAAACTGCACTCACTATTATATTTAAAACTAGAATTTTTATTAATTGAAACAATTAATACACTACGAACTACACTGAGACTTCCGTGTATATATCAAAAACGAAGAAACTGAACAAACGCGGGCGCAGGCGCACCACAGAGTTTCGCATTCCTAAAAACTGTTTGGGAATAAATCTAAGGACTCTCGCACAGAACAGTCCCCGTTTAAGTGAACGTTGATACAAAGTTTGTAACAATTGAGTAGCTGAATTAAAATAAATGCAAATAATAATAATTGTACCTAATTCTTTTCACCTTTGAATTAATTACGGAATCTGATTGCACTTGTTGAAAGAAGACTATTGGCGTTTATTAAGATATTTAGCATTGATCTTCATTGAAAATCATTCCTAAACTTTTTGGGATTGAAATCTAAAATTTAATATTCCTCCCTACGATAATAGAAATTACTCAAATGATTTTATATTCAGTCCGAAATCTGAATTTTCATTTTTCTCCGTGTAATTTTAAGATGACAGAGTGATAAAATCATTATTTTATATTATAAGAATATTGTAACTAAAAAATTCAAATTCTTGAAGATTTTAATTTGAACGCTTTTCAAAATTCAATTATTTCTAAAAATTCACGCTATAATGCTTTTAATATTCAATTTCAATTTTAAACTTTAAGTGAAATTCATTTTTTAAACAATTTTAATTAGAAAATTTTTCGACAATTCAATTATTTAAGTACAAAAATAAATAATTTATTAAATAATCCAATATTTCTTAAAATTTAATTTTTATGAAGAATTTTATCAAAATTTTTATAAATAATTGAATTCTTTAGGCGAATTAAAAAAAAATTTAAGAATAAATTCAATTTTCTATCATTTTATTTAAAATTGTATAAAAAACAATTGAAATTTTGCGATAAGTTTTCTTATTTATGAAAATATCTGAATTCTTGCAATGAATTTTATTAAAATTTTTTTTAAATAATTGAATTCCTGTGAAGAATTTTATTTTTGAAAATAATTGAATTTCGGAGAAAAATATTATTATTTATGAATATTATTAATTTCTTGTGAAGAATTTTATTCAAATTTTTAAAAAATTTTAAATAATTGAAATTCTCAGAATTTTTTACTATACTTTTTGAAAATAATTAAATTCTATCGAGAAATTTTATTAAAAAATTGAAAATAATTGAAATCTGACGAAGAATTTTATTAAATTTTTTTTTTTTTTTTGAAATAATTGAATTCAAAAAAATTATAAAGCATAAAAGAATTATGCTTCGAAGTTAAAAATTAATTAAATTCTGCGACGAGTTTAATTTTTTATGAAAATAATTGAATTCCTAAAAAGAATTTTATTATTTTAGAAAATTATTAAATCCCTGTACAAATATTATATTTATGAAAATAATTGAATTATTGTGAAGGAATTTATAAAAAACTTTGTAAATAATTGAATTCCTGTAATTACTATTTATGATAACAATTAAATGTTTAAGTAGAATTTTATCAAAATTCTTTTAAATAATTAAATTCTTTTGGCAAATTTAATTAAAATAGGGTAATGTCACCTTGAGTGGACCGCCTAAGCTTTTTTTCTAAAAAATTCTTTATGACAGCAAATTAATCGGAGGTTTCTATTCCAAGCTTTAGTTTAGATCCCTAGATAAGTGTTTATACCATAATAGCTTTAATTTTTTTTTATTTGGGAAAAACAATTGACTTTAAAAAAATAGCTCATTTTTAAGGAATGAAAAAAGTGTAACCTTGAGTGGACCACTCTTAAAAAATTGTGAAAGTTATTCTAAATTCTTTAATGTATTTAATATTTCTGATATATTGAAACAAAATTTATGCTTATGCAGCTTCAGACCATGTTTGTATCGCAATGTTTACAAGTGAAACCATTTTCAATAATTTTGGCACATATCACATCAAAATCACAAAAAAATTAATAAAGAACATAAAACAGTTTCGAACTAATTTATTGTCAATTTATTTCCATAAAAATGGTAAACTGACATTAAAAATATAAAAAAATAGGCAGTCCACTTATGGTTATAAACTGTGGTCCACTCATGGTGACATGCAACTTTTTATGGCAGACACCAAAATTTTTTTTGAGTCAAAATTATCACTTAAATAAACTAAGACAATCAATTTCAATGTCCAAAGTAGTATAGGAAAAAAATAAGTTACCTTTTAAAACTTAAATTTTACACTACTTTTACACTTCCGAATCACTTTACTCGTTGTAAGAGCGACTTCTTTTTTGGTTTGTGTTCTCAAAAATGCGTTACATCAAACAATAACGTATATGATTATTGCGAAACATAAATTCTTACGGTTTCTAGATGCGGTGTTGCTATTCGTTTTATTTATTTCACGTTTCCGCTGCCAGATAACTTAAAAACTCAGGTGGTCCACTCAATGTGACATTACCCTAGTATTTAATTTAATTACCATTTAAATTGTTTCAAAGTAATTTTTGTTCATGAAAAAAATGGCAATGTATCCGATTCATGAATCGTGTATTTTAATAAATACCTAAAACATTCAAATTCTATAATTTTGTATGTGTTTTAAAGCGCACACTTTTATTTAAATGTTAAAAAATTTCAGTTTAAATAATTCTAATAAAAAAAACAATATTAAATATATTCCTTCATATATTTCATATATTGACTATATTTAGATTTGAAATATTTAAATTAAAGTTTTC